AAGCTTGACAGAATCGCTTGAGAAGCTAAGCAGCACTCTTGGTTTCCTCCCAGAGCATGTTAAGTACCGATCCCGCAGCCTGGAATGTAGCAAGAGCTCCAGCAAATCTCTTATCAAAGCCAGACCCAGTGGCTGGAGAATGCACCAAACAGGGCCAGGGGGCATCGCCATCTCTGGGCGCGGATCGTGTTTTCAGTGACCAGGCTACAGTGAGTGGAAGGAAATGTGAAAAGGCATAGGTTAAGTGCATGGCATTTTCAGTTTTAAGAAAAGATAACTGGCAGTAGTTGCTTAATATTTTTAATGTTATTTATCAATTTTGCAACAGACTTGGCTTTTGTACGTTTCTGAGAATCTGTCTCCTTCCTGGTCTAGTGCTCAGACAGGCTCTGAGGTTTTAAAGAGACTGAGACATCTGCTGCGAATCCACGTGTCCCTCTTGTACAAACCAAGTGTGCCTGTGGAAGCCTGCACCTTATTTTTTGGTCTGTTTGTTGGCATGTTAGTTTTTGGATTATAGGGCTATAGTGCTGACCATAGCCAGTTCTAACAGCTTCTTTTGAGTGAGAAGCTAAAAAGTGTTATTTAGAGGGAAACAAGTGGTGATGGCGCCTGTGAAGTTCAGTTTTCTTTCTGCTAAATTTGTGGCATCCATACATTACTGCTTTTTATCTCATGATATGATGAGCGCTTTGGGTATACCACCGGATTAGCTGTCTGCAAACCCTTTGGGTCTCTTCTTTTACTGAGGCTATTAATACTTTCTGTAATCAGCCTAAAATGGTCTCTTCATGTTGCTGGCTTAGCTCTTAAGTGCTTGAAATCCTTGCTTCAGTAAAAACAGGGAAGACAGAACTCCTGTTTCTGGGGTACAGAAATTCATCAGTGACTCGTTTTCTCGCACTTACCATCGAAAAGGGCATTTATATCACCATCTTCAGTAGGTCTGCTTTCATCTAAGTGATGACACCCTGAGCAAATACCTGACAATAATTTGGTGCTGGTGAGTCTGTTGTTTGAGAGATCTTGCCCTGTCTGATTTCAGCTGTAAAAAGAGGAGGGATACAAGGAGTTGTCTGAGTCAGTGTGTAAATGCCTTCTCTTGGCTGCTGTGGCTTGAGCCAGTCTGTGCTTAAGATCTCAAAACAATATTGTAAGGGAGTTGATAGCCGTCATTTCACTCTGTTCCCTCCTTTCATCAACCCACGCTGAACCAGACACACTCCAGAGCTAGTGGCAAAATGGGATAGGCAGTCTTCCATGGAGGTAACGTTAATGTGTGCTGAGCATGCATCCAGGCGGGCTGAGCATGCATCCAGGCGGGCTGGGGGAGTGATTAATGCTCTGGGAATCCATGCTCAGCCTTGCCGCACAATGCTGTTGTGTCAGGCCTGGAGCTTGGCAGTGGCCAGGCTGCGTCGGGCGCCAGGAATGCGTTACCTACTTTGTGCAGGAGCAGGCAGCGAGACAGAGATGGTGTGTTCTCAGTTCTCAGTAGGGCCAGTTCACGGCTGTGCTGCAGCTTCATACTTGCACAGTGAGGCTCTCTTTGGATGTGGGTCCGCTGCTAGGTGGAGGCAAGAGTCCTGCAATTTGCAGCCCTGACTTTCGCCAGTGTGGAGTCCCAGTGTTTGCTCAGTTGTGGAGGAGCCCTCCCTCTTTCCTTCCAGCCTCCCTCCCTCAGCAGGCAGGGATCACCCATCCTTGAGGTGAGAGGGGATGGTGCTTGGCCAGCCATCAGGAGCTGTGACTCACTGGGGATCACAGGAGGAACCCGTCTCTCCCTGCAATCTGCTCTTCCTGCTGGAGCCCCTGCGCAAGCTGTTGCTGAATGTTTGTTTTCACCAGATCTGGGGTGGATCTGGGAGAAGCTCCAGTCCACCATGAAGCCTGAAGAGTTGGACTCAGTAAGTTTCCAGTCTGAAAGATGCTGGGAGGCTTCCTTCTCTAGGTGGGAGTTTGGAGAAAATGTTGGCAGGCAGGACTCTGTGGAATAAGACAACGCCAAGATCCTGGAAAACATAATATTTTGTGTTCAAGTCATGTTATGGAGCAAGCAAACCCCACCAGACTGATTTACTGCTTTCAAATACAGGGGCATATTGTCTAGATTCAGATGAAGTGAGGGAGTGATCCTTCTCTTCTCAGTGCTGCATAGGGAACATGAGCTTTTTAGGATTCTTTTTTTGGCAGTTTCAGAAGTTACTTCATGCTTTCTTGCCTCATGGGCTGGCTCTCAGGGAATGTTTTTCACATAAGTTAGTGCCCATGTTTTATTATAGCTGCAACCAATATATACATGGCAGAACAATTGCAATCCTGCCTGCCCCTCTCAGTCTTCTCTCCTTGGAAAATCTTGCACATTTTAATGAATGAGTACCGCCAGCTGCAGGTGAGTTAAGGAAGTGGCGCTGCTGTTTTCACAGCAGTATCTGAGCCTGAGGCAATGGGGGGGGCTGTATCCTCACCCCAGTGACTGCTGCAAAGCCGGGGTTTGGGTCTGAAGTGCCCATGCTGTAATACTTGCACTCCTCAACCCACTCTTACATTACACCTTTGACAGAAGAAATGCAAGAAATCTCACTGTACCATCATGTGCTCCAGGAGAAACTACCCTGAGGCAGCAATTACCCCTGCCATATTTTTTCCCCGTTGTCTGGCTCAGCTGTGAAGTCTGTATATTCAGAGTATGGCATGGATTTGTAGCACCCTGAGCTCAGTGGTGCCCTGTGCCTGTCTGCAGGGTGGAGGGCAGCCCCAGGTGCCTGCTAGGGCCTGCTGCTGCTGAGCCTGTCCCTGCTGCTCTCCTGTTCCTGTCAGAGCACGTAGCAGCATGCCCCAGCCACCCCACTTTGAACAGCGCAAGGCTCCTTCCTTGTCTTCAGTATTTCCAAGCTAATTGATAGCTCTTCCATCTTTTTCCCTGCTCCACGTGGTCATGTTTTTAATACTGTTACTCCTTCTGCCTCAGTGGGTTCCTGCTACCCTGAACTGCAGCTCTTTGTGCTCCTGATTCACTCCAGTCCATTCATCTCTTTTTGGTGGTAAAGTGCTGTCGGCTGGTGGATATTGGGCTCTTTGTTTGTACAGCCAGCACAACGCTGTTGACAAAGGGACAGCCTGTGCCCCAAGGAGCCCACGTGTTACGGGGAAGGCAGTGGAGAGCAATAGGAGTGACAGACCGGACGGCAGAGGTGAGGGTGGCTGGGGCGGGGGCACAGTGTGCTGGCTGCAGTTGGGGCACGGCTGGGGATGGGGAGGGACATGCTGAGGAAGCTGTTCCTGCCGAGTACAAACCCGCTTTGTTCCCAGGAGGTGAGCTGGACTGGATAAACAGAGCGGTCCCGTCAGCAGAAAGCCTTTCCCTGGCTGGATCCCCTGCTGGCGCTCTGGCTGGAAGTTGGCTGCACCTCGTCAGCGGGGATGTTTTTCTCATCCGTGTGTTAACGTCCCTGCTTCGTGACTTTCCAGGGCTCAGGTGGGCAGTGCTGCATGGCTGTGTGGAGAAATGGGGGCCCCGGAAGCCCCATGTGTTTGCTGTGGGTGGTGGTGTGTGTCGTCACCATGCTCTTTCTGCTCTTAGCCAGGTGGGACTGCTTGACCAGCCATACCAAGTATGGGCTGGGTATTGAGGCTGGGCGGCACCTGGAGGGTGACTGTTCACCATGCACATAGAGATGCTTTGGGAGGGGAGTCGGTTGGGTCTCGTTGGAGGGAAGCTGTGTCAGACCGGACAGAGCAAGGACTGTCCTTGTGATGTGGGAGGAAAGCAGCCCATGTCAGGGGGGCTGGTTAAGAAGATGCTGATGTCCTGGCGTCACAGAGGACAGCGCTCTGAAGCACCCCAGAGGGGTGTCAGCAGTGCTGTACTCTGCCTGTAATTGCAGTGGGACAGGAGGATGAAGGGAAGCATTCACCAGTCTGAGGTGCAGATATTGAGAAATAATCTCAGGGTTCTTGATTGCCTTGAATGGATACAGTTTTCAGTTTCTCTGCTGAAGGATCGGGGAAAAGGGGAAGGAGCAGCTGAAGCTGCAGGACTGCTGCTGCCTTGGTGTGATGTATTGCCTTGGTGGTGAGGCTGCATGGTACAAAGCAAAGATGAAATAGAAAAAGTGTAGTGACTCAGCAGTCGCTTACATAGGAAGAGGGAATGCAGGACATGGTTCTTGATGAAGACATCTTTGCCTACCTTCAGGTCCCCTCCCAGGGTGAATTTCAACCTTGGCTCCCACAGTCTTGGACAGGGTCTGCACCCTCATCTCAGCCTGGCTTCTGCCAAAAGCCATGGTGGGGCCTCCCAGGGGATGACTGAGCCTGGTACCTAAAGGCAGAAGAGGCATTTCCAGCCAGATCTGAGAATGCCCAGGCTGTGTCAGCCCAGGCAGAGATGGGAAGAATTTGCTGGTGGGGAACAGGATGGCGGGGTGAGCTTGCCTCAGTGGACTTTGTGTCTTTTCCCTTGCTGGGCAGAAGTGTGATGCTGCTCCAGCGCTTGACTCCTGTGGCCCTGAGCAGTGGCATGGGAAAGGGGATGCCTGTGCCTGTCCTGCCAGAGCATGCATGGTGAGACTGCGTGAGTGGTGCTATCTGCCCACCTGGCCCTGGCGGGCTCAGGACCCTGCCCTGCATGTCAGGGAAGTGCTGAGCTTCCTCTCCTCCTCTTACTTCCTTCCTGATGGGAGTTAATTTCCAGTTTTCATGTTGCTTCTCCCCCCATTACAGCACAAACACATGTCCCCACAGAGACAGACAGAGAGGCTGGACAAGGCAGGCTGGACCATAGGGGCTGCATTGCTGGAGACCCCTGACTCCTGCAGCAGCAAATCTGAAGTTGAGTGACCTCAGGACAGAACCCGCTCACAGTGTTTCTGCCTCTCGTGCTCAGGGAGGTTTTTTCTTTCTGAGTGTATATGTGATAATTTCAGGTGTTTCTGGCTGCTAATGGTCTTTGTCTGTGTCTCAGCCTTAGGTACTGATCCATCTTCAGACCCTGCGCAATGGAGGCTGGCTCCGTGGTCCGAGCAGTCTTTGATTTCTGTCCCAGCGTCTCTGAGGAGCTGCCCCTCTTCGTGGGAGATGTCATTGAGGTACTGGCCGTTGTCGACGAGTTCTGGCTCCTTGGCAAGAAGGAAAGTGTCACAGGTAAGAGCTGGAAATGCCTGCACCTGAATCCATAGATCTGCCAGCTAAACATCCACCCTGTCAGTACACCTACCCTTTGTCAGCACTCTGCAGGACCAGAGCTGGTTTACAAATCTTTCACAGGACATTGCTTTGGGACTGCGAGTGTGGGTTCCCCACTGCTAGTCTCCTGCCAGCTTTACAGCAACTATTCAGATAGCTTGTTTGGGCTTTTTTTGAGAGATTAGTGGAGGGTCAGTTCTTGAGGAGATGAGAGCTTCACAGTACTAGTTGCTCCATCCTCTGTGGTGGTACAGCCCATGTCCTGACCCACTGTGGCCGTGGAAGGGGAGAAAGGAAACAGATGCACTGAGAGTGGAAATGCATCCACATCCAAGCGACCTCGTCAGGTCAAGTCAGTGGGAGACGCAGCGACAGAGTCCATGTGTGTCCCTGGGCCCTCTGACTCAGTCCCACTTCCTCCTTTCCACGTTAAAGCATTTTCCTGCACAAGCTGCCATCAATATCTGGGTGCCTGAAGTAGTGTGCAAGCCTGCTGCACTTTGGAGGGGTGTGAGAAACTTCTGAAGTAGCAAAATGCTCTTGGTGAAACACTTAGGGTTTCATAGTCCCTTTTTAAGCAGCTCTTTCTCGTCTTAATACTGATGTCAAGAGGATGCATGAGCTCTCAGGGAGATGAAAACCAGGCAACTTCAAAGCATAAGCCTGACTGTTCTCAGCATGAAGGTGGGACTGGAGTATCATTCCTGGCTGTGGAGATGGGGCTGCTGTTGCAGCAGCAGTCTGGGCTCTGCTAACAGCTGCAAGCTGTTTCCTGGCTGAAACAAAGATGGACAATAGCAAAGGTGGAGGGGAGGACTTCTCTCCTGTGGTCCACGTAGCTGATAAATGGCATTGAGTGAGTGCATGCCTGATCCTGCTAGTGCTGAAATCATCAGTGTCTACTTCACCACAGTTTTGTCTCCCGGCATAACTGATGCGCTTGTTCTCAAGAAGATGAAGCTATTAAGGAGAATCATAAACAGATGTGTGTTGTAGCTCAAAGATAAAGAAACACACTGAAGTCAAACTGAATGGTTTTCAGTGACCTTTAACTCAAAACCCGCTTGCATTCC